AATGAACAACTATGCTTTCCAAACCCCAAACCCCAAAACCCCAAAACCCCACTTGATTAATTAATGAAATGTTAAATTTGAAATTAATCTTAAGAAATTAAATACTTTAAATGTTTGGAATAATTTAAAGGAATTAGTACAAATACTTTTGCTATTATGCTCAAGTTTTTATTAAGTTTCATTGATCAAGGCAAATCATCGTTTCATTAGATTAGATTATATCAGCATTTTGAAATCATGATTAATCTCTTTTAAATTCTTCTAAGATTTGTTCCATGTCATCCCATTTCTCAATAACGCTTGACTATTCATCTTGGAATACTTATAATTTCTAGTTGTTGATAAATAGTTAATTCCTCTTGTCCTCTTTCTTGAAATAGTTCACTTGTTTTTGGATCACTTCACCGCCTTCATTTTAGTATTATTGACTTGTTTAAATTGGATCAGTTTAAGAATCTTATTTAAAGGAATAGGCATTTTATTGATCCTTGTAAGACTTGGCAGAGTCTTATTTTATATTTTTACGGTATGTAGGCCATTTTTACTCACTTTCAGAAACATTCAAATCAGAATTATTGCTATTAACTTAGCTAATGTTGGTCAATACTATCCCATTTTTTCTCCTACTCGAGTCAATAATTTCCTTAATATATCCCTTCACACTTCCACTATGATTTTTTTTAAATTTCTAATCTTGGATCTTTTATTCCATCTCCTCATTGGAACTTTTTAAAGGACTAGGAACTTTGTTCGACAATTAATCTAACTTCAGGCTGCTTTGCTTATTTTCCTCAAAATTCCCGACATTTGACTTAGAATCAGTTTAATTCTATTTCCTTTTTTATTTAGCATCTGCTCTATTAGGTGAGATATGATACTTTTCTTCTTTAGTAATTGTCTCTACCATTGTGGTAAAGGTCTTTTAAACTGTGGTCTTGATTTCCTTTTAGATTTCATTCATTGGTCTAATATGAATCTTTCTTCTTGCTTCAACAGATTGCCTTAGCTTAATCTTCTCCTCTTCTCTTAGATTCTTTGATTTAAATCTCTTTTTCCTCCCAATAAGCTTTGTTAGTTCATTGATTGCTCTAGGCGCTCCAGGAAAACATTTAGAAGTACTTTGACTCAACAAAGGAGCCTTATCTCCATCATTGTCTTCTTCGTCATCGTCATCTTCTGATTTGTTCATTTTGCTCAGATTATATTAAGAAGATTCATCCTCAGAATTGCTGATACTTAATGACTTAAGAGATTCTTCATCTTCCTCGTATAACTCCTCCTAAATGACGTCCCTAATGCCTTTTTGAGATCGTCTTCTCTTTTTTAATGATTTTCTCTGTCGATACCTATAAGAAGGTGTTATTGCTTAATTTTGTTGTTCTTCTTTTGGAGGTGTATCAAAGTGAATAATTTGAACCTGTTCTCCAAGACTCTCTGATTCAAATTACGATTAGCCTTATAGTGCCAATGCATTACTTTATTATCTAGACTCAGAATTCCCAATGCTAAGACTATTAAGGGAAAGCCCAAATGCAGGAGTCTAATTAAAAATCTTATATCTATTTGGATCGTCATCTAATTTTTTGAACTCTTCTTCTATGTTTTCAATTTCCTCCTATTGCATTTAGCCGTTAGTTTATGGTTGTGATTCTATTGGAAATACAATATCATTATAGATTGATCCGAATACTTAACTAGTTAGCAGTTGATTATCTGAGATGATTCTTTTTTATGGAGTAACATGAGAAATTTTTCGTTTTCTTCTTCTCATAGCTCTTGTTTTCTATCTTTATAGCTTAAAATTCTTACTATGCATTGTTTCTTCAGTATTAGGTACTGGATTTTACTTGCTTTCATCATATGATTCAGTACTACTCTAAAAACTGTGTTAGTATATTTTCTTATAGTAGCGTTTCAGATTACCTTTAAAACGGTGAAATTGTTTGCATTAAATTGCAATGTGACCCTAAGTGTAGCAAATATAACATCTAATCCCTAAGATTTTATAGTCTCTTGACTTATCTGTGATAGTGTCTCTAATCTTGTGGAAAAGTAATAAAGAGGCTCTAAATGATTCTTTTAGGAGCATTTGCAAGAAATCTTCTCTATGAATGATTAAAACTTCTGTGAAATCTCTTGCTTTAATAGTTGCCTGTCTATTAAGAATAGTGAAAAATGATATTTCACCAAAATATCTATCCTTTTCTAAATCCGTCAAATGAGTTTTTGTTTTCATATGGACAGCCGATACTCTACCATTCTACATATAAAATAACTCCTGTCCTTGAGCTTTTTCAACTATTAAGTTATCATCAATAGAAAATGTTTCCTTTCTTAATAAGAAACTGAGATTACTAAGAAATTCTATGGGAAATTTGCAAAGAACATCAATATTTTAAAGAATTCTGCCATTAAAGTAAACTGTTATTTTGCCTCGAAGGTTTTCATTAAGCAGACTAAGCAAATCATGCTCCTCAATTTTGAAAGTCTTCTTAAGTTGCCAGTTATATTCTAAATATCTCTTTACCTGTACTCTCAGATTTAATGGAATGCATTTTTAGGTTAGGAATCTGTCTACATATATCATTTTTTCTCTAAATTATTCAGCTAGCAAATTGAAGCTACTTACCATCCTTCCAATATCACCGATGATAAAAGCGAAAACGCCTGAGGACATAATCATAACAAAAATTGAAACTATTCTTTCATTAGATGTTATTGGATGATAATCTCCATATCCAACAGTACACATAGTCGTAGATGCCCAATATAGAGAGTTGATATATTGTTCAGTGACAGTGGCATCATTTAATTATTAGAGCTACAACCAATTTCTCCCCTCATTCTCAAAGTCTGTAACTCCAACGGTATACATCATACATGCTGCCCAATGAGTTATAAATATTACAGCACAAGATATCTTTAAAAATCTAACACCTAAATGCATATAGTCAGTAACAATGAGCTCTTCTGCTGGCTATAGATATTTGTTAAGCCTGAGAAATTTTATTAATCTTAGCAGTCTAGCATAGCGAGCAAATCTTAGCATCCTTATGAGTTTAGTTGATCTTACTGCTTAAAAGTCATTGCTTGAATCTTAATTGGCTATCTATATCACAAGAATAGGAGCACTACTCAGCAAATCAACAAAAAACCATCCCTATAGATAAGTAATGAAAATTTTCTATCTATCCATTATTAAAATACCCTTATGATATTATCCTGTGAAAAAGTTGGCTGTTATTTCAAGTAAAAACCAGATATCAATGAAAAGTTCGAAATAATCAAACGGGCCTGATGTGTCGTAATTAAAAGCTAAGATAAAAGGAATGTAAACGGAAATAACTAGCAGTAATATGAAAGAAACTCCATCGATTAAACCTCTGACTGAAGCATCTGGGTACATCAGACATTTAGATCTAGCTCTACCCTAGTTAATTCTTCTAATTTACTATTCATTAATATCGTCATCATCTGCATTTCCTTAATTTGCTGCTAAAATAATTGATTTACTAAGAGAATGCTTCTTTATAATATTTTTTTCGCTACTTTCATCATCTATCTAGGATTTTTCAGTAATATCTTCTAAGGATACTCCTCTTGTATTTCTTCTGAGACTGGATCTTCTCTATTTTTCTTTAGCAATTTTGCCTGATCCAAATAGGTTTTTGATAGATTGCTAAAATTTTGACTTAATGGCACTATCCAAATTTCTATTGCCTTTAGTGAAACTTCCAATCCCTCCTTTTGTTAATCTTCTCAACGGAGCTGCAGATTCTTTTTAAATTCCTTTAGTCAGGGAATCCTACTTCTTAAACATTCCCTCTGCTATTTCTTTGAGGGTTGGTAATCCCTTAGTAGATTTTCCTTTATGTTATTTTTATTGATCTTTGATATAATCTTTAAAGAATCTAGTATTTCTATTCATTTCTTCTATATCAAGATTCAAGATATGTTGATTCACTCTCATTGCAATATCCACATTTTATTTAGACATCATTACTCTCATATTTTATCGATCTTTTCCAGCGTTTTATCTTAGAAAAGAAGGATCTCTCATACCAAATAAAGTAGGATCAGAAACTTATATTTGATTTGCATCATTTTAAGATTGAAATTAGTTATCAAGGGTATAATCTGTATATGAATTCAAGGCTCCATTATAATTGGTTGTATTAACATAGTAAGTATCTCTGTATTTTTTTTCAATTGAGGGTTAGGATGGTAGCATATTGTCATTTGTAATCTCCTTATTATTTGTAATGAAAGATTTATTCATGTTTACGGATGAACCATCATCTGTATGATTATTATACTAGAAATTTAGAAGATTTTAAGCTGAGGTATGCTATTGGTTGGTATTATTGTTTGATGGCTTTAAAAAACTTGCTCTTTTTGCATCTCTCTAGCCTATAATTTTTTAGTTTGGTGTTAAACCTTGGAAAAGCAAGTCATGAGTGGCTTGAATTATGTCAGCTTGCTGCTTAGGTTACTCAGCATGTGATCGATGCGAATATTCAGACATCATGGATTTAGCATGATTTTATTTGTTTTAAAACTTTTTTCATTTCTCATTTAAAAACTTCATACCTCCAAGTTTTAATTATTTTGGTACTAGCGCATTCTTATCGTATAAACTTGAAACAGTAGGAGACATCCCAACTTTATTTCTGGGAGAAGGAGATTTTTCACTTTTATCAATTGATATGGAGGGTGTTTTAACTAATGATCTGTTTCCAGTATTGAATTAAGGGTTATAATCATTGGAAGTGATTCTTTAGAATAAATTTCTATCGTCAATATCAGAAATTCCATATTCACTTTATAGAAATACACTCTACGCTGCTCTTTTGACAACATTTGAATGAGACTTTTCTATTTCGAATTAGGTCGACATTCTCATCAGCTTTGCAGGAGATTATTTTTCTTTTACTTCTATAATATCATTAGTCAAGAGTTGCTAACCCTTTCTTATTTAAGGGCTCATCATATCAATCCTATCCTTTAATTTTTCCTCATCAAACATTGAAATAATTTTTAAATCATTGTATTCTTTCCTTCTTTGTTGGCTTAATACTTTGCGCTCTTCGGATTATTACTGCATAAATTAATTTTAGCTATGCATTTGCTGCTCTAAATGTTCTTATTATGACATTTAATAAAATGAATTTTATAACTTATGAATTATTTATCCTTTTTTACTTCTCATACCTCTAAATGCTAAATTGACATCATGGGGTTTTGGGGTTTTGGGGTTTTGGGG